TTTAAATATTGTCTCTCTCACAGTCTATGTAGTCTGTCCATCTGGAGCTCCTATTGTTGTAAGAGGGACTTTCTATTGTTTCTTCCATGTATCTATTTTAACCTCTATATTTTCCATCTCTTTGCCTCCCTATGCTGCTCCCTAGGTGTGTTCCTTGGGTGAATCTTCCAATTCAGTGACTTTTTCTTCAGTCATATCTTATCTACTATCAACTCATCAGTTGTATTCTAATTTTACTAACTTATTTTTATTTCTCAAAATCTGATTTGATTCCTTTTCAAATATTTAGTTTCTCTTTTCCCCAAGCTTTTGTTCTCTCTCTCTATTTTCAGTTTTAGCTTTGAAGTTAGGACTTTTAAAGGTAGTTCAAAGCTTGGCACAATAACACATGTCTGTACTCCTTGCTCCTCAGGAGACTGAGGCAGGAGGATCACCTTAGCCCAGAAATTCAAGGCCAACCTGAACAACACAGCAAGATCCTATCTTTCTTGTAAAAAGAATCAAACATAGTTTAAAAACAATTTTGCTATACATAAGGCAAAATTGCTTTACATGGCAAAAGTTTTATGTATCTCCTAGATAGTTAAAAACTGGATTCTCAATGACTTAATATTCCTGGTCCAGAGCCATTTTATGTGAATTTTAATCTAGGCCATGCAAGCCCCATGAAGAGATAATAGAAGTTTATGTCACAGTTTGTATTAGTTATCTATTCCTACATAATAATTTATACCAAAATGCAGCGTCTGAAAACACAGGAACTTATTATCTCCTATTTCTGTGGGTCAGGCATCTGAGGGCAGCTTAACTAGGTGCTACCTGGGTCAGGCATCTCACAGGGCTGCAGTTAAGGTGATGGGCAGGGCTGTGGTCATCTCAGGGCTTGCCTGGGGGGAGGCCTGCTTCCATGCTTACTCACGTGCCTGTTTGCAGGCTTAGATCCTCACCACCTATTGGCCAGAGACATCAGATTCTTGTCATGTGGGACTCACTTTAGGGACATTGCACAACATGGCAGCCTACTTCCATGTGAATCTAAAATAGAAACCACAGTCTGTAACCTAGACTCAGAAGTGACATCTCCAATATCTGCCATGTTCTATTCATGAGAAGTGGGCCAATAAGTCCAGTCCGCACTCCAGAGGAAGTAGTGCATGCCAGGAGTTGGAGACCATTAGGGTGATGTCAGAGATGGCTGCTACATAGACACTGTTTGCTCATCTTCAGTGGAGGCCTGAGCAGCCTGGGTTAGGCATGGATCCCTCAGGTATACATTTTGCAGTTGCTTCTGTTAGAATATTCCTGGTCCAGAGCCATTTTATGTGAATTTTTAATCTAGGCCATGCAAGCCCCATGAAGAGATAAAATCCTGTGTCTGTGGGAGGACTGGTTTATGGGTACAGGTTTTTAGGGGATTTGTCTCCTTTCTTCCCTCTGGTGCCTGAACTACAGACTGGCTTTTTTCTATCAGCCTGTGGTAAGGATTGATTTTTTTTTTAAAAAAAAAATTTTTTGTCTACATTTTCATCGAAGATTTCCCCTTTTCTAGCTTTTAAAGGTTCTCATTTCAGCTTCTCATTTGGGTTTCGTGTGAGCCCAAAGCCTCACTCCTCCGCCCAAGTGGGTGTTAAAACTTAAGTCTTTTGGTTACTGAGACCAGAACCCCCTGCCCCCACTGCCCGCCTCCACTGGGCTCTTTGCAGCATTGGCTCACATAGTTCATATTCTGATTTTCCAGTCTCCTCTTTGCTTTTGTCCCCTGGGGACTTAGCTTGCTTTCTTGTGAGCTCAGCTATGCATATAAAATGACATTTGTTATGTTTCATCCAGTGTTTTGGAGTGGCTTGAAACGAGAGGCTTCAAAGGTTATCTAAACGAAATAACTTACGTAAAGTGTACCGGATGTCACCTGGCCCCCAGCTGGACCCACCGACTCTAGCTCTGGGCGACTTTTAATTAGATTCAAACGAAGTATTTTCCTTTCATTATCCCATGTGCTTGGAAATGGCCACTGATTCTGAGTCTGGTTTGTAGAAAGGCTCAGGATCTCATTTCCCCAGAGGATTCTTTTTGACTCTCCTTCAAGTGGGGGTTGGAGGAAGGAGGATGGAAGTTGATGCAGGAATAATGGGTGTATTCACCATGCAGTGGGACCATTTTGTAAGCATAATATCACATAGGGCAGATCAACTCAGGTGCAGTATTCCTCTGTGAGTCTATATAGGTAGAGACTGGGTTTCCCTTGGTCTTCGTCCCTTGTAGACTCCACAGAATCTCCTCTTGGCCAGTTGAGCTGGAAGGTATATGACCACCGGGAGCTTCTCACTCTGCCACTGTCTGCCTTGGATAGAGTTGGTTGTGGACATAGCTGGGTGTTATTTTAAATATACATAGAGATATTATTTGGAATAGAGAGCTCTCTCATTCTGAATGATATTGCCACTGTGTTTTAAGAACCCTTGCTACTAATAGTCATAGCTAATGTTTATTAAGCATCTGCTGTGTCAGATATTATGCCTACTGCTTTACACATAGAAGAAAACTGAAGTTAAGTTCAGAATGAGATTCCTTGAATCCCTGATGACCAGGCTACTTGAGACCACAATGCTCTTGGCTAGTGTTAGATTAGCTCCCATGGGATCCAGGAGGGACTCTCTGGGCTGGATAGGTTTTAGTTGGGGAGTACTTTGAGCCTAATCTAGAAAGGGCAGAAGTTGGTTGAGCTCCTGAGCTCCAGGAAATACCTTGGCAACTGCTGTCCATGGGGTTCCCAACACCCAGAGACAGAATAACTGAATAGTAGATTACAGGAAGTCATGGTGACAGCCACAGATGCCACATGGTGTGGCTTAGGCTGGTTGGACATGGAAGAATTTAACTTCTACTGGATCTTGGATTGCTTTTTCTGTAGCCTGTGATTTCTGTTCCATTGTAATGAAGTTCCTTTAGAAAGGAATTCAGGCAGTCCTCTTTTTCAGTTCTGGGCCTACATTAGAACCACTGAGTCTGTGTCTTCAGCAGATTTTTTTTCTGAGCTTCTAAGCAGCCAAAGCAGAGAAAAGCATATAGTCAGAGGGCCCGAGTTAACATAGATTTAACAGGCTCCCTAGGAGATCCTGATACTTAATCAGCCTTACAGGGGAGCTGACAAATTTAGCATTTAATTTTAGTTTTACCACTTACCAACTGGCTATCTGTGGACAATTTATCTGTCCTCTCTGAGTCTTAGTTTTCCCATTGATAGAATGGGATGGAAATTCCAGCTCTATTTGAGCTAGGGCCTAGTGAAATCATGCTATACTTAGGAGGCCTAGTTATGGAAATATTAAGCAGCATTTTACACTTGGGTCAAGACAATTCTTTGAATCTCTATCGACTGCACATAAATATGATGCTGTGAATCTTTCCTGGGAGATGTCACAGATGCAGCCTAGGATACTTGCTGTTATATTCACCATGGGATATTATTGAGAACCTTGTGTAAGACTCCATCCAGTGGCCTCTGCACAGTCATCCACAGGGAGATTTATCTTGGGCTCAGTGACAGGAGCAGTTATGGTTCTCATGAATGCCCCTACCCTGTGCTTTCTGGGTATGATTTTCTATGCACCAGTTGCCATACTAGGTGCATTGAAAATGGAGTGTCAAGATCAGTTGTTTTGATATTTATGAATTAATTCATATCCATACCAGGTGCTTGCCTCTCCTCTTAGTTTCTTGTCTAATTCAGAACAACAACAAAAACCAATTGCAAGTTCCCATTTTTTTTGAGTCCCTTCAATAGACTTATAAATATGGTACCATTATCATTCCCATTTGACAGATGAGCAATCTGAGGCCCCCAAACTTTTGCTTTCCTAGGCCACATTGCTAGGAAGAGACAGAGACAGCACTTGAATCTAGGTGAGCCTCATCTCATGGCCTATGTAGGCAACTCTCAGGCTATATTTCATGCATGCTTTGGCTGAGTGGAAGCTCCGGGAAGAGTATGTACCCATTTGGAGCAATGTTTAGGACTCTGTCAGCTGTGTTTTGTCACAGAGCTTACCTCTGGTACTACTTTTTCCTACCTTTATCTTTTTCTTTATGCTGAAAACTCTGTAGTATATTTAGTCTCAGTCTATGGTTTGTGGCATGGTTCCATGAACAAAAATTTTGTATTGTATTTTTCTTCCTTGCTTCTATATTTTTTTAACATCATGAATTCTGCCCCACAAAATGTGAAAAACAAAAACAAGAACTTCAACCCATAGGCTTGGGATGCTGAGGCAGGAGGATTGCAAGTTCAGAGCCAGCCTCGGTGACTTAGGGAGGCCCTGAGCAACTTAGTGAGACCCTATCTCAAAATAAAAAGGGGAAGTGATTCAGTGGTTAAGTGCCCCTGGGTTCAATCCCCAATATCAAAAACAAAAACTTCATCCAGTAATGGTTGAGCTTTCCTTGGAGGGTGAGGGCAGGGCAGGAACCAGTGGACCAAGTTAGAACCCTTGTTCGTGAGCACAAAGTGGGGAAAGCCTTGAGATACCTGTAGGCTAATAATTACATTCCATCTTGCCCCTGGGTATATATATCTATAGGTTGATTTTAATCAATTTTGTAATGTAGTGAGGTAATAAGTAATAAAGTGTCTTTCCCTGCAGTCCCCACCCTGATACCCAGCAGGAGTATGGATGACAAGATTCTCTGTCAGGCTCAAGTGTGAGAAAGATGAAGAACTAGGTAGAGAAGAAAGTGTGGTCAGAGTCCGGGGTACAGCCAGACACCTGGAGAAGCACAGGTGGGGGACAGGTAGGGGTATTTCAATAAAACTGGGCCCCAAGGCAGGCCTTAGGGAGTACAGGTGTCCCCATCTTTCTTTGGGGACAGTGAGAGTTTCTTTTATCCCAAATGCTGGAGAAGAAGAGTCACAGAGGGCTAGTGGATGAAGACTAGCTATGTACCTAAGGCAGAGCACCCCTTCCCAGCTCCTTGGTAACTGACCTCCCGGCCCCTGCCCCTAGCTCAGCGACGAGTTGAACCAGCAGCTGGAGGCCGTGTGCGGGTCTGTGTTTGGGGAGCTTGAGTCCCAGGCCGTGGACGCCCTGGACCTGCCCGGCTGTTTCCGCATGCGGAGCCACAGCTACCTCCGGGCCATCCAGGCCGGCTGCTCTCAAGACGACGACTGCCTACCCCTCCTTGCTGCCCCTGCCTCTGTCTCAGGGAGGCCCGGCTCCTGTAAGTATGCTTTCTCTGTCCCTGGCCTGGGCCTTGGTTGGAGACCACCCTGGTGTCCGTTCCGGTCAGTGCCATGGCCATGCTGTGGACAGATCACTTTCCTCTCTGGGCGGGATGAGAACAGTCCTTGGCCCTGTGTGTAGCAGCACATGGCGTGCGCGTGGCGGCCGGGTCCTGGGGGAGCACATGCGTGTGCCTGGTGATGGGCCTTAGATTCTTGCGGGGATGTGTATCTCATTCCCTGCTTCACCCTCCACAGCCTTCAACTTCAGAAAGGCCCCGCCCCCCATCCCGCCGGGAAGCCAGGCCCCGCCCCGCATCTCCATCACGGCCCAGAGCAGCACCGACTCTGCCCACGAGAGCTTCACCGCCACGGAGGGCCCAGCCCGGCGCTGCAGCTCCGCAGACGGGCTGGACGGCCCCGCCATGGGCGCACGCACCCTCGAGTTGGCGCCGGTGCCACCCCGGGCCAGCCCCAAGCCCCCCACACTCATCATCAAAACCATCCCTGGCAGGGAGGAGCTGCGGAGCCTGGCGCGACAGCGGAAGTGGCGGCCGTCCATTGGTGTGCAGGTAAGAAAGGAGGAGGCACCGTCCAAGGCTCAGGTCCGGCCAGCTGGGGAGGGGTTGAGAAGATCAGAGGGGCCTTCTGGATACATAGAGCTTCTTGGCCTGTCTTGAGCTGCAAGTAGACCCTGTGCCTGGTCATCGACAGGGCTGTTTCAGCAACTCTAGCGTGCTCAACTCGTCCCTTTCCTTGTCCCATCATCCCTGATAGAGAGTGCAGAGAGGGGCCCAGTTGTTGCCACCTTGATGAGTCTGCTCTCTCATCTCCTCAGGGAGATTATCCGTTGAAGATTTGCCAGTTGGCTTGGGGCTCAGCCAGTGCTGACCATTCTCACTGGGAAGGGGTGTGTCCCCTGGCTAGGCCCCGCTGCTGACTCCTCCACCCTGCCACCAGGTGGAGACTATCTCAGACTCTGACACGGAGAACAGGAGCCGAAGAGAGTTTCACTCCATCGGTGTACAGGTGGAAGAGGACAAGAGGTAGGTCATGGTGGGTACACTCAGGTGTCACCGGGGAGAAGAGGAGCAAGGGCTGGTCATGTCCTCCTTGGCTCACTCTGCCTGCACTTGCTCTCCTACTGGAGTGAGACCCCACCTTCTTATTGGGGAGAAGTCAGAGCAGACAGAGGTTGTCCACAGAGACCTCCAGGGTAGTCATCAAACCTAAAGCGAGTTCTCCTTGTACTCATGCCACTCTCAGGTGCCTAGAGGCAGACAGACAGTGGTTGGGGGAAAGAGAGGTATACCATAGGTGGCAAGCAGGCCTCCAGTCATTGGCCTTTACAGGGGATAATAGGGCTGCCAATCTCTCCTTACATCCTGAGGTGTGCCAGTATGTGAACCCAAAAGAAAAAAATAAACAGGAAGTCTGCTTGTCTCGGCTCCTGGCAGATATAACACTCCTCCCCACTTGGTTGCACAAGGTTTAACCAGTTGGGGGTACCTATTATATGTCTGTGGTGTACCCAAGACAGTAGAATTACCAGCAGCCACTCTTCTGGCATTAGGTGGCCTCAGAAACACTGCTTCCTTAATTTCCACCTGAAGAATTAGCATTGTAAGCTCCAGAGGGAATATTGAAAGAAGTCCTCTCTGTTGTTGGGTGTCCCTGAGGAGACACTTTCTTTAACAACCACATGGCCGTGCCACAGTGCCCATCTGCCCTCTGGAGCACGATGCCTGGTGGCCCTGGGTATGGTGTCTGGGAACCTTTCTGGGGCTGACTGAGAGTTTTGTGGTAATCCAAGTTGTCCAGGCCAAACCCACTGCAGGTGTCAAACTAGTGCCCCAGCACTGTCCCTTGCAGCTCTGTTCCCATGTGCCGTTGTTGGCCTTCTGGCCTTCCTTGTGGTTCTGCCATCTATTCCTGGGACCCCCTGGGGTTCCTGTGTGTGTGTGTGTGTGTGTGTGTGTGTGTGTGTGTCTGATCAAGTCTTCTTAGGGTTTCTGTGGGAGTCACCCTTTTCCTCCACTCTTGCTCTAGCTCCCTGAAGGTCCATACACTCCTGATGTAGTAAATGCTTCCTTCAAGGGTGACAAAAGGCTGCTTCTGTCACCCCCATCACTCCTAAAGCCGATGTCCTCCAAACTCTTAATAGGTCAGGAAGATTACAAAGAAGTGACAATTTATGACAAACTCAATTTGCAAATCCATGATTTAAGTTTTTGAGGATGGATATAGCTCTATGCTCCTAATTCTACACATCACCCTGACTCCAGGACCATAAACCAAGCCCGTGTGTCTTCACTGCTTGCTTGGGATGCATCCATATAGATCTCTGAGGAGTCCCTCTATTCCTCCTAACAGGCCTGAATCCTGGGAGGAGTGTAGCAGGCATCCTAGCTGAGCACACTCTGCCATTCATTCATGATGTATTCATTCAGCAAATACTTTTTAAGCCTTTGTTATATGACACATGTTTGGTGCACTGCCTTAAATGCTCAGGGAAACACCAAAGACACGACTTTTGTCCTTATAGAAGTTATGATCTAGAGGGAAACTGAGGCAATCAGTAAATAATCCATGAATAAAAATAGGAAGATACATTGTGGTAATACCATGTAATGATATTATTGCACATCATGGTGGGAATATGAAAGAGGAAGCGATAAGAGAGAAGGAACCTTATTTAGATTAAGCAGATGACATTTGAACTGATGTTTGAGAACACTACAGTGATGATTGGGGTAAAAGCATTCTAGGGAGAAGAAATCACATATGCGAAGGCCCTGGGGCGAGAAAGGTTTGACACGCATCAGGAACTGATAGAAGGTTCCTGTGATTGGCAAGGAGTGCATTGGGGGAGTAACGAGAGAGTGCATTGGAGAGTTCCAGGGGCCAGGTCATGCCGAGCATGGGCATGATAAAGAATTGGAATCTAATTATAAGTAATGAGTAGCTATTAAAAGGTTAAAGAAAGAGTGTGACATGCTCCAATTTATGTTTACAAAAGATCACTTGCTACTGAATGGAGAATGAATTTGAGGAAAGTAGTGGTGGAATTGAGGCTAGTAGAAAGGTGATGGTGTTTTGCACTATGGTAGCTATTATGATCTAGGTCTTTTTTTTCTGTTTTATTTTATAGCGAGGCACTGCTAGTATATGAGGACACTATTAAGTTTTGCCTATTGATTTTGTATTTAGCAGCCTTGTTGCTCTCCCTTATCAGGTCTCAGGTTATCTGAAAAATCATGATGGGTTTTCTGTATAGATTTTTTTTGCAAATGAGGATATTTCTTCTAGATCTTTATTTTAAATTTATTTTTCTTATAATAATGCATTGAATAAGACTTCCTGTTTACTCCTGAGTAGTAGCTTGCTTATTCCATTCTTGAGTTTAGTAGCTAGGCTTCTCAAGATGTCGGCTACATTTTGTGATAGGTACTGTTTTTTTTCAGGTTAGGGAATTTCTTTCTATTGCTAGTTGACTAAGAGTTTTTATTTTCATTTTTTTTTAAAATAGAAAAGACAAGTGGAATTTTACTGAATGCTTTCTCAGAGGTCTACTTAGATGATCCTAGATTTTCTCTTTCCATGTGGAATGTGGTGCATTATATGAATACATTTTCCCAGTTGGTCCATTCTTTCATTCCTGGGTAAACTCTGCTTGATCCCGTTATCAGTTTGGATTGAATTTGCCTGTAAGAGGGTCTTGGTGTCTCAAAGAAGTGTATTTCTCTTACATCTAAAGCCACCTGGATGTAAAGAGGTATGGTGTCAGGACCCCAGGCTCTTCTTCGGCTGCTTTTCCATCCTTTGTGTATTACCTCATATCCAGGAGCTGAAATTCAAGCTCCTCCTGCCATGTCTGTACTGAGCAGTGGGAAGGAGGAACTGAGGAAGAAGGGTATCATCCTTTTTAAAAAGTTACACACAGCACTTTAACCTACATCACCTTGGCTGTAGGCTGTAACCACATCACGTGGTGGCAACTGGCTGCTGGGGGGGGGGCTATGGAGGATAGTCTTTCAGCTGGAAGCTGTCTGCAAAGTACAAAGTCCACAGCTGAAAATTACAGTTCTTATGACTAAAGACTGAGATGAGAATGGATGTATGCAGTCTTGGAGTTTTTATCACAGCCTTGCTGTATTATTTTTATGTGTATTGCTATATTTTTGAGTAGTTACTACTTTAGGATTTTTATACCTATGTTCACAAGGATATTGGCCTGAAGTTTTGTTTTATTTTTGTTCAGCTCAGGTATTAAGGTTATGCTAGACTCCTAAAATGAATTTGGTTGCTTTCTTTGTTTCCATTCTTTGTAACAATTTGTGTAAAGCAAGCATGATCTATTCCCTAAGGTTTGGGAAGGGTTACCTATAAAACTATCTAGGCCTGATGCCTTTTGGGAATAAGAGAGTTTTTGGAACTATGGTTTCAGTTTCTTTAGTGGTTATTGATCAATTCTGGTTTTATTGTTTTTTTTGAGTCCATTTAGGTGACTTGTATTTTTCTAAACAATGGACCATTTTACAAAAGTTGGTAGTTTTCCAAATTGGCATGAAATATTGTGTCTAATAGCAATATAATTTTATAAATATTCATGGTATATTTAAATTAGCTTCCTTTTCCTTCCTAAGACATGTATTTATGCTTGACCTCTCTTTCTTGATCAACCTTGTATCTTCTAACATTGAAATGTATTTTTAAATTACATTTTATCAGCCTTTTAAATAACTAGCTTTTGGTTTTGGTGAGCAATCATAAATACTTCCTTTCTTTTACCACTTTGGTGTTACGATTTTATTTCTTCTAACATGTTTGACTTTTATTTTTAAAAAATTCTAGAACTCAAACACTGACTTCTAATATCTCTTATTTTTCTAATGTGCTTTTGGGGCTATAAATTCCCTTTCTTGCTATACTGTTATAACTGCATCTCATAAGTTTTGGAATTTGGTATTTTTCATTGTTCAGTTCTAAATAGTTTGTAACGTTCATCATATTTTTCCTTTTAACCTATGAATTTAGAAAAAAAATTTCTGGTTTTATTGTTTGTTTATTTTTTAAGTTTCCAAGTGTATTTCTTGGAGGGAGGGCCTGCCTTTTGATGATTGGTTTCTGAATTTGCTATGTGTGGTCACAGCATGTGTTCTGTCTGGGACTTAGTCCTTAGAATGTGTTGAGGCTTCCTCTATCATATATACACATATTATATGTATATCATATATAGCATATCACATATGTGGTCTAATTTATAAATTATATCTTTCAAATGTTTATCTTTCATTTTCTTGGTACATTTCTTGGTTTTTGTTTGTTTGTTTTGTTTTTTGGTACTGGGGATTGAACTCAGAGGCACTTATCACTGAGCCACATCCCCATCCCTTTTTTTGGATTTTATTTAGAGACAAGGTTTCACTGAGTGGCTTAGGGCCTTGTTAAGTTGCTGAGGTTGGCTTTGAACTCAGATCCTCCTGCCTCAGCCTCCTGAGCCGCTAGGATTATAGCTGTGTGTGTATATATATATATATGATGGACCTTTATTTTATTTATTTATATACAGTGCTGAGAATCGAACCCAGAGCCTCACACATGCTCGGCAAGTGCTGTACCACTAAGCTACAGCCCCAGCCCCTTATCTGCCAGTTTTGAGAGAGGTGTGTTTAATGTCTTACTGTGATTGTGGATAAGTCATTTTCCCTGGTAACTTTTTTTTTTTGTTGAGTCTGACTGTGTGCTGTTATAGTTATTTTAGCTTTTCAGTAGACTGACTCTTTTTATCATGAAATAGGCTGCTTCCCCTACTCACTAATGATTTTTGCCTTTTTAAAAAATTTCTATAGCTGCTTTCTTTTGGTTACTTTTCCAATACATCTTTCTGCATTTCTTTCTTTTTTAATATTTATTTTTAGCTGTATTTGGACACAATACTTTTATTTTATTTATTTTTATGTGGTGCTGAGGATCGAACCCAGGGCCTCACACATGCTAGGCGAGCGCTCTATGGCTGAGCCACATCCCCAGCCCTGCATCTCTT